CAGGCCCCTCAGAGACTGGGTTGGCCATGTCTTGAGGATGATGATGGTCTGGAATTGCAAATTCTGCAGGTGGCAGAGGGAGAGGAAGGGATGGATGTGGGAGAAACCAGGAGCCCCTCACTCTTCCCATCCAAAAGGCAAGGACCTCAGGGCAGAGAAGAATCCCAAAGCAGGGCAGGCGATGTGGTGTAGCAAGTTACGCTGCTGCCTGGGATGCCTGCATCACTCATCAGAGTGCCTAGGATCACATCCTGCCTCCACTTCCCATCTATCTTCCTGTTAACATACCTGGGAGGCAGCAGATGATGGCCCAAGTACTTGAGTTCCTGTCAACCAACATGGAGGCTCAGTTGAAGTTCCAAGCTCCTGGCTTCTGCCTGGCCTACCCAAAGCTGTTGCAGACATTTGGGGGAATGAACCAGCAGATGGAAGTTTTGTCTCCTCCTCTATCACTTCCTTTTTAATTAAGTAAATCTCCTTTTTTGAAAGGCAGAGTTACAGAGTGAGAAAGGAAGAAAGATCTTCCATCTGCTGGTTCACTCTCCAAATGGCCACAACAACTGGGGCTGGGTCAGGTCAAACCAGGAGCCTGGAGCTTCATCCAGGTCTCCACATGAGTGCAGGGAACCAAGCACTTGGGCCATCTTCTACTGCTTCCCAGGCCATAGCAGAGAACTAGATCGGAAGTGGAGTGGCCGGGACTTGAACTGGCGCCCATTATGGCCCAAGTACTTAGATCACCTTCTGCTGCTTTCCTAGGCACATTAGCAGGGAGCTGGATCAGAAGTGGAGCAACCAGGACTCGAACTGGCATCCAGAGGACGCTAATGTCATAGGCTGTGGCTTAACCCAGTGCACAACGCTGGCCATGAAGTAAATAAGTCTTAGAATCTCAAAGGACAGAGGAATCTCAAAGGGAAGGAACCCTCAATGTGGATCCAGCTCACCTCAACTCAGGAATAGTCCAAGGAGTTTGAGCCTAGAGACCTGGTTTAAGAGCAGACCCTGGGGCTGGGTAGGCTCAGAGCCATCGCCGGCCCTCCATGGTGGAGAGGGCTATTCTGCACCCCCACCCCACCCCTGCCTGCTAGCCCTCTGCATCCCCAGGTCCCTTGTGCCACCCTTACAGTCAGCTGTGCTGGCTCCACGGTTCCCACCTGCTGAGGCTCACCCAGACCAGCTGGGAGGCTCCTTAGCAGAACCAGCGACACCAGCTCCTCCCAGTCTAACCAACCTCCTCTTCGCGGCCCTCTCCCAGGGCCGCCTCACCTGGCTCCCACCTCTTCAATCCAAAGACCCTGTCACGCATAAGCGCAAGAGAAGTACAGGCTGCTTTCTTATCCCAGCCCAACTGCGATGGCCTGAGAAGGAACCCTTGACCCGTGCTGCCCCTTCAGCCCCTGGAACGACATTTCCCGGACTGGGAGCCCACAGGAGCTAGACATGGACTATGTGTGGGTTAGGCAGCCAGAGCACTGGGTTCTGGGTGGCTTTACCCTATCTGGCCTGGTTATGGGTAGGAAAAAGGGAGAAGGGGAATGGCTAGGACCTGGGTCTCTTAAAACAGTTGGGGAACAACTGTGTGGGGCTGAAGCAGTGACAGGACAAAAGACGTCCTGCGGCCCGAACACCAGGAGAACGGAAAGAATAAGGAAAAAGTAACTGGGGAGGAATTCCAGCAATGCACTGCGCTCTCGGGTGCGCTCACTCCCTGCTCACATTCTGGTGCCAATGCCAGAAGGGCCCAGCGTAGAAAGTAGGGAGCCGATGTTGAGCGAGATTAAGAATCTTCCCTAGACAGGGTGAATGCTTCATGCAATGGTTAAGAACTCCTTGGGATGCCCACACGACACAGCTCCACCACTTCTGATCCAGCTTCCTATCATGTGCACCCTGGGGAGCGGCAGGTGATGGTTCAAGCACTTGGTTCCCTGCCATCCACATGAGATACCCAGATTGAGTTCCATGCTCCTGGCTTCAGCTTGGCCCAGCTCTTGCTGTTAGTATGCATTTGGGGAGTGAACCAGAGGATGCAAGACCTGTCTCTGCCTTTTAAGTAAAATGGGAATAAAATGAAAAGCATTACTTTAAAGGGAAAGAAAAAGCTTTGCTACTGTCATTGCTACTACATGGGGGAGTCGGGCCTTGCTCTTGCCAATGAGCATGCATGAAGTCACTGCTGTCACTCTGCTTTGTCTCAGCCCAAATACCAGCTTCTTCCCACCAGTAATTATCTGGGGCAGGGGAAATAACGTGAGCCTGCCCACGTCCTCCACCCACGTGCTGGGCTAGGACTGAGGGGCGGAGCTGGGAGCCTGCCTTCCCTCTCTCTGCTCCCTCATCCTCACCCCGCAGTGGCAGACAGGTGAGCAAATGCCAGGGGCTGGTTCCTGGGCATCTTGCCCCACCACTGCCAGCACCTGACCCCCACATGTATCCATGCTGAGAACCAGTCACAGGCCCCAGGCTGAAGTGTGGGCCTCACCAGAGTTGGGGGGCAGGGGTGAAAATTAGTCCACGTGTACTAACAAGAAAACTTAGAGCACCCAGGCCCGCCCACTGAGACTGAGGTGGGAGCTGCTACCCTGCCCCAACCCCCACTCAGAACTGTGCCTCAGTGTGGGCCCTGGGACAGAAACCAAGCTGATAGGCTGGGCATGAACTTTTTTTTTAATTTTTTTTATTTTTTTATTTTTTTTATTTTTGACAGGCAGAGTGGACAGTGAGAGAGAGAGACAGAGAGAGAAAGGTCTTCCTTTGCCGTTGGTTCACTCTCCAATGGCCGCCGCTGCAGCCGGCGCACCGCGCTGATCCGATGGCAGGAGCCAGGATCCAGGTGCTTTTCCTGATCTCCCATGGGGTGCAGGGCCCAAGCACCTGGGCCATCCTCCACTGCACTCCCTGGCCATAGCAGAGAGCTGGCCTGGAAGAGGGGCAACCGGGACAGAATCCGGCGCCCCAACCGGGACTAGAACCCGGTGTGCCGGCGCCGCAAGGTGGAGGATTAGCCTATTGAGCCACGGTGCTGGCACTTCTTTTTTTTTTTTTTTTAATAAAGACTTGTTTATTTGAAAGGCAGACTGACAAAATTAGAGTATTAGGAGAATCTTCTAGCTGATGGTTTGCTTTCCATATGGCTGCAACAGCTAGGGCTGGGGCCAGGTTGAAATCAGGAGCCAGGCATGGCTTCGGATGGGCACAGCTCCGGCTGTTGCAGCCATCTGAGTGAACCAGCAGATGGAAGACCTCTCTGTCTCTACCTCTCTCTGTAACTCTTTCAAATAAATTAAGTCAAGAAAGGAGAGGAGGCCGGCGCCGTGGCTCACTAGGCTAATCCTCCGCCTTGCGGCACCAGCATACCAGGTTCTAGTCCCGGTCGGGGCGCCGGATTCTGTCCCGGTTGCCCCTCTTCCAGGCCAGCTCTCTGCTGTGGCCAGGGAGTGCAGTGGAGGATGGTCCAAGTGCTTGGGCCCTGCATCCCATGGGAGACCAGGAGAAGCACCTGGCTCCTGCCATCGGATCAGTGCGGTGTGCCGGCCGCAGCGCGCTGGCCATGGCGGCCATTGGAGGGTGAACCAACGGCAAAGGAAGACCTTTCTCTCTGTCTCTTTCTCTCACTGTCCACTCTGTCAAAAAAGAAAAAGAAAAAAAGAAAGGAGAGGAGCTGAGGGGAGCGGAGGGGAGCAGAGGGGAGGGGAGGGGAAGGGAGGAGAAAAAAAAGGGGCGGGGGAGGAAGGAAGGAAGGTTGGTCAGGAGCCAGGAACTTTATCCTGGTCTCTCCAAGTACCTAGCCCATCTTCCACCGCCTTCCCAGGCACATTAGCAGGAAGCTGGATCTGAGCCAAGGCTCAAATTGGCACTCTAGTAAGGGCAGTTGGTGTTGCAAGTGGCCATTTAACCCATTGTGCCACAGAGCCAGCTCCATAGCCTAAAATGTTGTACTAGAAGGATCCTAAGGAACAGGTTAGTGGCAGGGCTGGGGCCCAGGCCCCTGGTCTCCCACCGCGTCCTCCTCACAGGGGACTGCTGACAGCTACTAGCTCCCAGAGGAAGTAGTTCTTGCCTATCCAGACAGAACACACAGCTGCCACTTCAAGAGAGGCCTGTGGATGCCTTCAGCCCTGCCGTCCACAATTCAGAACGCAGGGGGAGCACCTCGACCTGTCTGACTTCTGGGACTCCTCATTCCTTTGCGCCACTGGGTTCCCCTGACCCAGTCCATGCATGGTCAGCAGCACTGTCTAAAGAGCTTCAGGAACTGCACTGAGCTAGACAGGCTCAGTTTCGCCTCTGCTGGCTGAGGACTGGCCATCTACTCAGCCATCAGAATGGGAAAACCCACCCTGCCCTGAGGACCCAAAGCTGTAAGCATCCTTCTGTCTTTATCAACTAAAGAACTGGACTCCCTTCGAGAGGGAGTCCCTGGACTCTCGTACACAGGCACTGGGATTAAGTAGCCACCCGAGAGGAGCGGGGCGACCCATTTGGCCGGCATCACGGGAGCAAGCACCTTCAGAAACCCGAGCTCCTCTGGCTCTGCCAGGACCGCTCAGGTTCCAGCTTGCTGATCTTTTCCGTCTCCTTCCCTGGGCTCAAATTCTCCACAAGTGGGGATGTGGGGTTTGTAGAACACTCCTGACCCCAGAATTCTCTCCAGCCCCCTCAAAGGCCTGTGTAGGGTTATCTGGGCTCCTGCCCACTCTGAGGAATGTTCTTGCCACAGTCCTTGGGAGAGACTCTGCTGAGGACAAGGGGCAGTCAATCTCTCAGACACCGGTGACATGGGCCCTTGTCCCCTAAGAGGGCCACATTCTTGCCTAACCCTGAGCGCAGCCTGCCCCACCTGCCAGTGCTCTGACGGCCCCCTTGTTCTGACCCTTGAGGTCCTGGGCTTGAATTCAGTCAAGGAGGTCACGCATGGAGACAGGAGGGGGACACAGGGAGGTGACCAGACTCCAACTGAACGGGAGGAGATCAAAGCGCAGCCAGACCCTACTTGGTCTTTTTTCCCATTCTCCTTTATTCCATAACCACCTAGTTACAAGTTGCACAAATCAAAAAATAAAGGCAGAGAAGGGTGGAGGGAAGATTTCTGTGATGTGTGCGTGGGCGGGAGGGGGAGGGAGAAAGAGTCGGGAAGCAGTCCCTGGTTCCACAGCCCTGGACAGGGCTATGTACGGCCCCTGCCATGCGGGCTCGGAGCAGGAGCTGGGCGAAGATCCAGGGTGGCTGAGAGATGGAGGAGGCCCCTGAACCTAGAGCTCACCCCCAAAGACCCTCGGATGCACAGCAAGGGTGGAATGGGAGCGTGAGGAGCTTCGGAGATGGAGCAGCGATGTGGAAAGTCAAGTTAGATCCAGGGCGGGTGCAGCGGCCGTGGGAAGGGATGAGAAGCAAGAAGTAGGTCGAGGGGGCCGTGAAAGGCTCTCCCTGAGACCCCCAGGGGGAGGTGGGGGCCAGCCTGCCTGTTAATTTAATATTAAATTGGGGGTGGGGGTTGGAGAGGAAAAAGTAATTTCAGGGGATGGTTTCTCAGCCTCTCAGCCTGCACCTGGATGGGGAAGAGAGGAGCACAGGTCAAAAGGAAAGAACGCTAGGAAAGCCGGGGGCTGGTGCAGTGAACGCAGCTCCTCTCTCCCGCCAACTGGAACGTGCTCTACCCGAGGGGCAGCACAGCGGGGCCCCAGCGCCCCTGTGCCAGCCCCTGTGCGGCTCGCCTCGCGCAGCACTGTCCCTCCCTCCCTCCCCACTACTTACAAGAGAGGCCGAGGGCCCGGGGCCCTCACCAGTCGTAGCGGCGGGACTGTCGGGAAGGGGAGTCCTCAGGTCCCTGGATGGCCAGGCGAGGCGGCCCCTCGGCCCTCCGGCCGCCAGCCGCTGAAGCCTCATGCCGTCGGAATTCCAGTGGGCGCTGCTGCCGGAATCGCGACGTCTCCCGCCGCCACTCATCATCAAACGCGGCGGCCTCGCCTGCGGAGCACACAGAGCGCAGCTATGACGCTATGACGCCATGACGCTGGCACGCAGCAGGGCTGCTGGACGCACATGCGCAGAGGGAGCCCCAGCCTTTCAGCGGGTGAAAGGCCCTGTGCTTGGGGGAGGGGAAGCAGCAACTTCCTTTAGCGATTTCGCTTCCACGTGGTCCCTGGCGGCCACTGGCAGGCCTAAGACAGAAGGAAATCGGGAATGGGATAATTACTGAGTTGGGGATCCAATGGTATTTCATAACTGTTTTTATTTTAAATAAGATGAAATCAAGGGAGGAGAAAGAAATCCTGATCCAAATGAAAACGGGTAGAATGGTATCGACACCATTCTGGTTGGCATCAGTGACCAAGCCGGCCCTTCCCTCCTTGGGAGGCGGCTGCCAGCACTCGACTCAGTCCCTGGGCTGACACCAAGGCTCCCAGCCAGAGCAGATCCCCACAGCTCTGCCGGAGGAATCTCACTGGGGAGGGCCAGCTGGCATCCCCTAGGAAGCAGACCAGGGCTGCTGGCCAGCCAGCGGGGAGAAAGGCTCACTCTCGTCCAGGTTGATGTAGTCCTGCCGCTCCTCCTGGTCGCCTGTGCGGTGGTTTCGGGAGCGCTGCAGGATGTGAGCCCTGTCCCGGATGTGATGCCCAATGGACATCTGCTCAAGTCCGCTGTCCGAGTCCCGGACGGTCCTCCGTGTCTCCCGGATCTGGGGAGAACAGAGCCTGCTTGGTTAGCCTCGACAGAGCCCTGGCCAGACCGTCCCGGGATACACACAGCAGCCACACAACCCAAGCCTGAAGAGAGACGGTAGGGCTTCTCCAGGTGTTCTTCAACCCCGCTCCTCCCACACTTACCCCGCCTGGCGCTGAGCGCATCTCCGATGTCTCTTGGTAGACCTTGGGGGCCCCGTCACCCGTGTTGGAGTAGGAAATGACAGTGGAGGACGAAAAGGTCTGGCAATTGCCTCCAGCTGTCATGTGTTCCTGGGGAGGAGAGGGGGCAGTCGGACAGAACGGAGGGGCAGGGGCTTGGCGCCTACATCCCATCAGGGTGCCTGGGCTCCCATCCCAGCTCTGCATGTTCCCAGCTTCCTGCTCATGCACTCCCTGGGAGGCAGCAGGTGATGGCCCATGTAGTGGGGTTCCTACCACCTACATGGGAGACTCAGTTTCTGCCTCTGGCTTTGGCCTGGCCCAGCCATGGCTGGTGTGGGCATTTGGGAAGTGAGCCAGTGAATGGAAGATCTGCCTCAGTCTCTCTGCCTTTCAAATAAGTGACAGTGCATAGTTTTTTAAAAAGGGGGAGAGTGTTTTAGCACAGTGGGTTAAGCCTTGGCTTCAAATGCTCACATTCCATATCAGAGTACCTGGGATCTAATCCTGCCTCCTCTTCCAATCCAGGTTCCTGCTAACACACATGGGAGGCGGCAGACAATGGCCCTAATACTTGAGTCCCAGCCATCTACTGGGAGACCCAGAGAGAGTTCCTGGCTCCTGGTTTCAGCCTGGCCCAGCCCCATCTGCAGGCATTTGAGGGGGTGGATGTAAGATAACTCACTCTCTCTCCATCTCTGTCACTCTGCCTTTCAAATTAGAGGGAAAAAAGAGAGAGAGAAAGAGAATGGGGAGGATTCCAGGCCAGAAAAGAGATTTCACTCTTCAGCTGCCCCTAACTTCCTCTGAGCTCAACATAAGCAAGAACGCTGGTAAGAGGCAGAGCTGTCACTGCCTACTTAAGAATGCTGCTGCTGCCGCTTCCCACTCAGGCCTGAGGGCAGACCGGCTCCCAGCGTGCTGGGTTCCATCACACTCTCCAGTGCCAGCCCTTCACAGCACCCTCTCCTCCCGCAGCCCCAGAGGACTTGGGGGCCCCCAGTCATCACCGAGAACGAGGCTGGCGAGGGCCAGGGGGCGAGAATCTCACCATGTTTCCAATCATGTCATTCATCATCCCAAACATGTCCATGAAGCCACCAGACTAGAGAAAGAGACGGAAAACAGGACTTCAGGGTCAGTGCTCGGAGATGACCCGTAGGCACCCCCCGGCCACATGGCCCCCGTCCCCCTGCTCCTCTTCTTTCACACCCAGCAGCTGCTTTCTCTCCATCAGAGTGACCAAAATGCTCAGGTTTCTCCCGTAGACTGCTGACCTCCTTCTCCGTCCCCCTGGCTGCTCTGATCCAATGCCCTTCTCCTGACTGCCACTTCAGCCCCTATCTTTAAGAAGCAAGCCGAAGTTAATGGGAGTCTAACTGCTAAGAAATTATTAGAATCTACTGAAAACCAAATCTCGTCAGCCATTCCACAGTTGCCCCCTCCTCTAAAGACCAAACTTGGCAAGATAACTCCATCTTCCTAAGGGTATGGAGTTCCAGGAGCACAGGGGTAGGCACAGAACTGGCTCAGAGTTCTGTGAACTCAGAGATGCAGGGCCTGGCGCTGTGCTGTAGAAGCCTAAGCCTCTGCCTGTGGCTGGTGCCACATCCCATGTGGGCACTGGTTTGGGTCCCAGCTGCTCCACTTCCAGTCCAGCTCCTTGTTAATGTGCCTGGGAAAGCAGTGAAAGATGGTCCAAGTGTTTTGGCCCCTGAACCCACATAACAGACCTGAAGAAGCTCTTGGCTCCTGGCTTCAGCTCAGCTCAGCTCTAGCTGTTGTAGCAATTTGGGGAGTGAACTAGCAGATGGAAGACCTCTCTGTCTCTCTTCTCTATATCTATAACTCTACCGCTCAAATAAATAAACCTCTAAAAAAAAGAGAGAGAGAAGATCCTGGGGTTACCTGTGAGACTACTCCAAAGCAACAGATTTGGAATGATACCTAAGGTTACAGAATGAACGAGACAGAAGGCCACCAGGAGACAGGCACTCACCATTCCCAACATCCCGAAGGGGGAGACAGCCCCAGCCTACAGGAAACATGGGAGGAACCAAAGTGAGACAGCCACATCCTGTCGTGGTACAATCCCCAACTTTCAACCCTCCTCTCAAAAGGGGTCAAGCAGCCTTTTTCCACACCCCTCCCCCACCTCCTCTAAGATCATTTCGTTTGCTAGGCTGGCTGTGGTGCAAGAAAAATAAAGTGCCGCGTGGGCATCTGGTGCAGCGGGTCAGCTGCCGTTTGGGAGGTCTGCGTCTGTATCCCACGCTGGAGGGCCTGGGTTTGGGTCCTGGCTCTGCTTTCCATTCAAGCTTCCTGCCAATGCACAGCCTGGGAGACAGCAGGTGACAGCCTAAGTAGCTGGGTCCCTGCTGCCCAGGTGAGAGACCTGCCCTGGCTCCTCGCTGTGGCAGGCATTTGGGGAGTGAAGCAAGCAGTGGGTAGGGGATCTGTCTCTCTGCCCTTGAAATAACAAGCAAATGCACACAGTGAATAGAAAATCAAGTGCGCTCCCGCCCGCCCTCTGGCCTCCCCGGGGTCTGGGGTATGTTTCACACGGTCACCTGCATCCTGCGGCTGGCAGGCCTGGCCCCCGGCACGCTGCCATCTGTGATGCTCAGGAAGGGGCTGTATCCGAAGCCGCCGGACAACATCCGGCTCATGTGCTGGCGGTGAATGGCGAAGGGGTCCCTGTGGAGTGAGGATTCTGTAGGACCGGCACAAGGGCCGCGCTGTCAGCCCACAGTCACAGGGCGCAACTGGAGCACGCAGACCCCACTGCCCTGAGTCAGAGCTGGTGCTGAGCGCCCAGGGGCCTGTCTGCCCTGTTCCCAGCGGAAGCCGAGCCGGCAGTACTCACATCAGGAACATGGGATCCTCGGGCTCCACGTCCCTCATGAAGCGGAACATGCTGATCTGAGCTCCAGGGGGCTCCCCGCTGTAAAGATGCCCACGCTCGGTTACTCAGAGGTGACCAGGCTGCCGCACGTTCGCACAATGTAGTACTCTCAGCGCACCGTCCCTTCCACATACTGACGCTGACCCCCAACTCCCGGTACTCCACACAACCCCCTTCAAACCTCACACTCTCGGTGAGGGCCATGGAAAATTTTCCGAAGCCCTCAGTCTTCTGCCTCCCCCGCCCAGGGCCATCTTCTTCCCAAAGCCCGAGGCAGGAACACCCTCCCTCTCCCATCCGTGCCCCGGACGACAACCCCAAGTGCTGGCCCTCCGCCCCACTACTGACCCCAACCAGCTCGGCCTCCCTTCCCCCCCCCCTCCATCTGCGGCCGGGCCTGGCCCGGGCGGACCTCCTGAGCCCCCCGCGCCTGTCGGCTGCCCCCAGCGCCTGCCTCCCCGCCGGGCGACCCGGAGAGATAGGCCCGACCCTCTCCCCCGTCCGCACCGCCGGCCCCTCGCACCCTGCAGTCCGCGGGCGCGCTCCCGCCCTGCCCGGGCTGCCTGCTCTGCTCTAGCCTCACCGGTCCCCGGCTCGGGCTCAGCGGCCCATCCGGCCGGTTTCGCTTCTCGGTGCGATGCAGGCTCAGGGTCGCGGCCCGGGACGTGGGGATTGGTCGGGGCTGGAGCTCCTCGGCCGCCCGCACCGCCTCCTCCCACAGCTGCCACCTCCGTACCCCCGCCCTCGGCCAGGCCCGGGCGGAAGTGACGTCACGGAGGGACAGCCCACTCGGGCCGGGCGGCGGGAGCTCCGCCCGCTGGGGTTGGGGGAGGGCAGGGCCGCGTCCCCGGGGCTAGCGAGGGGGGAGTCGGGTCTGGGGCCGCGCGGGGTCCGCTGGGAACGAGGGGCGGGGAGGCCTCATTAATAACCTGGATTTGGGTCCCGGTAAGGGTGGGGGATGAGGAAGAGGAGTCCTTTCCTCGGCAGGGGACAGGGCACTGAAGCTCGTTCCCTTGGGGGCCGGAGGAGGACGCGGGCAGACACCCCTGGGCCAGGGGCGGGCGCTCTGTGGGCGACTAGGTGTGGCAGATCCCTGCGGGGAGCTTTAAGCAGACTTTCTGCAGAGGCGTTCAGGCCTCGAGGAAGGAAGGGCAGCGTTTCTCAGGCGGGAGGCGCCCGCGCCTGCCCCCCCCCCGAGGGAGGAGCTTTCCTGACAGGGCGGGGTCCCTGGAGTGACGTAAAAGCTCTCCAGCCCAGGTCTGGTTCACGCTTGGGAAAGTCGGACTGGGGCATAGAGGCCAAGGTTGAGGGGCTGGCCGCCAGGGGGCGCTGGTGGGCCAGGCTGGAGCTGTAGCGGAGGCGGCTCCTGGACCCCCTAGTTATCCCCTCCGTGAAGGGTCGGACTGGGCAAAGTCTAGTTCTGAAGTCCTTCAGTTATGTGCTGATCTTCCCTAGCTGTTGTATCCTTACAAGCTCCTGATCCTGCACGGATCATTTTTGCCTCTAGTTAGACAGGTAGGTCAAGGGTTTCAAGTTTGGGAGCAGAACGGGGTGGAGGGGATTACTCGGAGGCGGGGCTCCAGACAGGGCCCAGGAGACCTGACTCCAAGGCTAGTGGCTGATACTTTGACATATTAAATGTCTTGCATAAAATCTGGCTCTCCTGGAGACAAGGGCCCTCCCCTGTGGTGTCAGAAGATTTGGACTTTCTAGGGTGGACTTTAGACCAGACTCATCCAAACTCCAGCTCTCCCTGGTTCTTTACTCTGGCTGTTAGTCATATTAGTGCTGTGGAGCCTGACCTGTTCCCAATAACTCCCTGGGGGAGATGGAGGAGAGGGTCGTTGGTGACTCGGAAAAGGAGCTGGGAGCAGGGCTTCTCAGGTTTCTTTGGACCCATCACTGTGAAAGAGGAAGAAACAGTAGTGGGGATGGGCGCAGGGGCAGATAAGAGGTAAACCAGCAGACTGGCAAAGTCCAAGGAAAACAGAAAAAAGAAATTTTGTCATTACTATTTCTAGGGAAGAGAAGTCATAATATCTTTTAAGTTTTTAATCATCCAGATGCCAGTCTGTTTAATCTGTGACAACCCTGAACACCACCTATGGTAACATACATGACAAAAGTAGCCCAGATGGCTTTAATCTCGACAGCCAACATGCAACCATCCCTTTTCCTCTTGCACCAAACAAAAGCGGTTTGACATGTGACCAAAGGATTCTGGGCCCAGCCTTAACTAGGGAGATCCTATCCGATTTTTTTTGTCCTCTCTTCCTTCCAAAGGAAGTTCTTTATTGACCATTGACAATGTTTAATGAGGCCTTGCACTGACCTAGGTGCACTGTACTGAGCATAAATACAAAATTATAAGACACAATTCCTACTAATTTAAGGCATACAAATCTCCTAGCCTCTTTTGCATTCTCTATTAAAAAAATTATTCAGGCAGGGGCTCACTTGGCTAATCCTCTGCCTGCGGCGCCGGCACCCAGGGTTCTAGTCCCCTGGTTGGGGCACCAGATTCTGTCCCAGTTGCTCCTCTTCCAGTCCAGCTTTCTGCTGTGTCCTGGGAAGGCAGTGGAGGATGGCCCAAGTCTTGGGCCCCTGCATCCGCATGGGAGACCAGGAGGAAGCACCTGGCTCCTGGCTTTGGATCGGTGTAGCGCGCCGGCTGTGGCAGCCATTTGGGGGGTGAACCAATGGAAAAGGAAGACCTTTCTGTCTCTCTCTCTAACTCTGCCTGTCAAAAAAAAAAAAAAAAAAAATCATCCATTGAAAGGCAGAGCAAGAGTGAGAGAGAGAGGGGGAGAGAAAAATATCTTCTGTGCGCTGGTTTCCTCCCCAACTAGGCCAGGCCAAAACCAGGAGCCAGGAACTCCATCTGGGTCTCCAACCCAGGCAGCAGGGGTCCCAGTACTTGGGCCAACCCCCACTGCCTCCCAGGTGCAGGAAGCTGGATCGTGGAGCCAGTGCTCTGATATGGAATGGCAGCATGGAAAGCAGCGGCTGAACCCACTGAGCCACGACAACGGCCATACTTGCTGCCTTGGCTTCTCTCCATAGCCCAAGATTCTAATATCAGGCATCTTGACCTCTGTGTGATGTTTAACCAGTGTATTAACTTCTCCTAGGAGACAAAACTCAAAACCTGGGTTTTGTTCCAGATTTAAAAATTGTTCAGCAGGTGAGAAAGGAGGAGGAGAAGCAAGAGTTCATTGTCAAAGCCCCTGGAGACAGCCTGTGGGCAGCTGCCTGCTCCTGCAATTGAAGGGGGTGTTATCTTACAAGAAACCAGAGTTTCTGTCTTCCACCTCTTCTTTCCTCTCTTCCTCCCTCTTCCCTTCCCCTCTCTCCCCACCTATCGCCCTTTTCTGTCCAGTAAGTCGTCATGAATGGGAATTCCTCAGTCTAGAGTATCCCATAGCTCCCAGATGCTAAGACACAGGAGGAAGCAGGCCCTACCAGCGATGAGGCTGACAACCAGGAGGATGAGGACTGCTGGGAACGCAGAGAAACAGAGTGACTTCTGCCTTCACTGCTTTGTCTGATGGGGCCCAAGTGGGGAAGTCCTTGCGAGGGTGGAGCTGGGCCAGAAGAAAGGGCCCTCTTTAGATGTGAGGTCACGCATCTGGAGCAGTCCCAGGGCACTTGGATATGTGAACAGAGCGAGGGTGGAGCAATGGTGTTGGAAGTAGGGAGACTATAACAGTCCAGCTATATTTTAGATGCATTTCAGGAAGCATTTTTAAACTTCTAGAATATGCCAGGTATGGAAATGGGTAATATGAAAATTCTCAAAATCATGATTAAAAACCTTAAGAACTTAAAGTCAGTGAGGGATGCTGATGCTTTGAGTAGATGCAGGGGTATGCTTGGAGAGGGGCCTTCAAGGAATAAGAAGGAGCTAGTGAGGGAAAGAAAAGTCCACGTGAGGGTCCGGCACTACAGCCCAGCCACTTAGGCCACCTCTGGGGACACCAGCTTCCCATGTCAGAGTGCCAGTTCGAGTCCTGGCTACTGAGTGGCAGCAGATGATGGCTTGGATGCTTGAACCCCTGCCACCCATGTGGGAGACCAGGATGGAGTTCTGAGCTCCTGGCTTCAGCCTGGCCCACCCCTGGCTATTGCAGGCATTTGGAGAGTGAACCCCCACTCCTTGTCTCTCCGTTGTGCACAAAAGTGGAGATGAGGATCACTCTTTTGCCTGAATGAATGGGTGGAGGTGAGCACCATAATGGAAATAGGAAACACGAGGGGCTTTCAGTGGGAACATCAAGGAGCTGGGCTGCGTTCAGGGAAGCAGAATGGAATGAGGGCCATGACTCGGGCTCAGGAGTTAAGTCAGTGTGAGAGAACTGAGTCATCAGTGTTTGCTGTATGTTTTGGCAACACAACTTAAAACCACTGAAGTGTGTGATAGAACACCCTTTTTATTTGAAAGGCAGAGTTAGAGAGAGCGAGAAGAGATACAGAGAGAGGTCTTCCATCCATTGGTTCACTCCTCAAATGGCTGCAACAGCTGGGGCTGGGCCAGTCTGAAGCCTGGAGCCTGGAACTTCTTCCAGGTCTCCCACATGGGTGCAGGGGCCCAAGGACTTGGGCCATCTCCACTGTGTTCCCAGGCGCATTAGCAGTGAGCTGGATTGGAAGTGGAGCAGCCAGAACTCAAACCAGAGCTCATAAGGGATGCCGGCACTTCAGGCCATGGCTTTAACCTGCTGTGCCACAGTGATGGCCCCAATTAATTAATTTGAAAGACAAAGTGACAGACAGATCTTCCCTTTACTGGTTCACTCCCTAAATGGCTGCAACAGCTGGCGCTGGGCCAGACTGAAGGTAAGAGCCTGGAACCCTATCTGGGTCTCCCACACAGGTATCAGGGGCCCAAGCAACTGGGCCATCTTCCACTATCTTCCCAGGCACATTAATGGGAAACCAGATCAGAAGCTGAGTGGCTGGAACTCAAACCAACAGTGTGATATGGGATGCCAGCATGATAAGCAGCTGCTGAACCCACCACCCCACAGTACCAGCTCCTC